CTAATTTAAATGTGTAAAAAAATCAGCTTCTCAGAGAAGTCATAGATAAGTTACAGTTAACAGGTCGATATGAAAGATACTGTGCCCTACTTTCCGTAGCTTCTTCGGTGCAGCTTTAGTCCTTTTTTAGTCCTGCCACGCTGCGCATATGGGGCAAGGGGACGGTGCTGGGGCAGTCCCTGAGCTGCCCGTGCGGCTCAGATCAGCCATCCAGCACTGCTCCCGCTTGCACCCCACAACGACTTTTCCGAGCCTACACCAATACGCCGCGAACACGCAGACCTTCCCCCATGCTTCTGACACGGGTTCGGCTTCTCTTCGTGCCAGAAATCTTTTGTGCCAGCAGCTGCCGCCACCGTTGCTCCACACAGAGCATTTACCTTAGCGTGCTCAGAATATATCGGTCTGATGTTACGCTTAAAATGACCGGCAGCAAACCGTAACCCCAAACAGAGGGGCCACGGTAGTGGGGACGCTGCAGACAAGGGTGGGGGTCAAGCACTGAAAGCGGAGCGTGGGAAGTGGTGCAATTGCTGGTGTTTCTCCTGCTAGTATTGAACTCCGATAGGGATATTGCTAAATCACGAATACTACTGCCACCTTTTATTGTAAAATTTATTTTATTTTTATAATTTATTTTATATTTTATTGTACGGAGCTTACCGATTTGGGGCAAGTTCTGAAGTTATTAACCCATGGAGAAATTAATGTGCAGGACTGTCTGGGATTAATCTCCCTTGGGAAGATTTCCTATTAAAGTGTCCTGATGAGTAAGGAGCATGGAGGGGCTGGGATCATCCAGCAGCGATGTAACTCAGCACCACCGAGCCTGCTCATGGGAAGCTTCGTGGTGGCGCAGTGGCATATTTTAAGGCAAAACGGAGGCATTTGCGCGAACTGAGTGAAGCGTGTCGGTGTTCGGTCGGGAGTTGAGTGTCCTGGGAGGATGTCTGGGAGGCGACAAGGGAATAGTTCCCTGCCAAAGCCAAGTTGCGGGTTCTTTACTAAGCATGTTTGCATGAGAGGCTTCCACAGTTGTTATCTTCTCTAAAAACTGTGTGAAACTTGTCTACAGTGTCAAAGTTACTGACTTAAAGCCCAGAGTAACCGCCCCCTGCCCAGTACAGTTGATACTGCTCAATTCTGATTTTTTTTTTTCCACAAACACATTAGAATAGGCAGCGTTCGCGAGCAGGCCCCCATCCTTGTCCTTCCTTTGTGTGGAAACACTGGGGTGGGCGCACATTGGGCTTTGCCTACGGAACAGAATGTGAGCAGTGCCCGGAGCAGCTGCCGTTTGCAAAATCTCCACCGCAAACCTGTCGGATATATCACAGTGCTGAAAAGGAGCAGGCACAAAAAGAGCCGTTCCTGGTCTGGCTGCCCGTTGTCTTCCTGAGGCCGGGCTACTGGTGCATCTCTACCCTCAGGATTAAAAACGCGTCTTTATTCCCGGACTGACCTGTTCAGCGTCGGCTCCAGCCCTCGGAGCCTGTTACGCCCAGGCCGGCTAAATGCAAAGCGCTCTTGTATAGAATTTCTTTTTACCAGGAAGTTCTTTATGGTTAGGATCCAGTCACTTTGATAAACAGATGAAGCACTTTTATTCCTTCAGTGCAGAGCGTGTTCTGTTCGCTCTCGTGGCTCTCCCGGAGCCCTCCCCAGTTGGGCAGGGTGCCCGGGCAGGGGGTTCCCCAGGGGAGAGTGGGGTCCCCTCTGCTCCTGCTCCCTGCCTGGGTGCCAGGGCTCAGGGCTGCATTAGCTGCTCCGGCAGCACGCCGCAGCGGCTGATGGCTAATTATCCACACTGCTTCCCCAAGCCTTTCCAGCCTCTCTTCTTCCCAGGGTATCTTCCCATTCTATAAAAATGTATCCACGTTTTATGTTAATTTTCCAGTTGCAGACGTGACTTCATAAAAGAACCACAGAGAGCGCCCTGTTTCGGAGAGATGGCGGGACTAAGACTTGGGGTGTCGGGGGTGGCCTGGGCCCGCGGCAGCCCCAGCGCGGTGCGGGGAAGCCCCGGTCCGGC